CCTCCGGCAGGACCCCAAGGCGCTCCCGGACCAGATTGGAGATGTAACCTCTCCAACGTGTCCTGGGTCGACCCGGGGGCCTCCTGCCGGTAGGACATGCCCGAAACACCTCCCCAGGTCCAGGAGACATCCTGACCAGATGCCCAAACCACCTCAGCTGGCTCCTTTCGATCTGGAGGAGCAGCGGTTCTACTCCGAGTCCCTCCCGAATGTCCGAGCTCCTCACCCTATCTCTAAGGCTGAGCCCGGCCACCCTACGGAGGAAACTCATTTCAGCCGCTTGTATCTGCGATCTCGTTCTTTCCGTCATTACCCAAAGCTCATGACCATAGGTGAGGATTGGGACGTAGATCGACCGGTAAATCGAGAGCCTGGCTTTCTGGCTCAGCTCCCTCTTCACCACGACAGATCGGCTCCGCGTGCGCATCACTGCAGACGCCGAACCAATCCGCCTGCCGATCTCCCGATCCCTCCTACCCTCACTCGTGAACAAGACCCCGAGATACTTAAACTCCTCCACTTGAGGTAGGACCTCTCTCCCGACCCGGAGTTGGCAAGCCACCCTTTTCCGGTCGAGAACCATGGTCTCAGATTTGGAGGTGCTGATCCTCATCCTGGATGTACGACCCCTAAAACCAAACGTGCTGTTGGAATACGCTTTAACAACGGCTATCTTGTTTTATGATTATGACTCACAAATCACTTGTAGACGAGTCTTGTCCCACTCGCCAGAATCGTCATGAACGAGCTGTTTAAGTTCAATGGTCAGGATTTTCTGGTGGAAAGCAGATTACCATTGTTTACAGCAAGAGTTTCATGTCCTGAAGCAGTGAAGCAGCCCCAGATCACCACACTACCACCGCCGTGTCCTACTGTTGGTATGATGTTGTTTTTTCTGAATGCAGAGTTTTACTTCAGACCTAGCAGGACACAAAACGTTCATAAGTCTCCACTATTTTTCTCATTGAAGCTGAATTTTTTCCAAAAAGTTTTGTTATTTTTGGTCAAACAGTTTTGTTCTTGAACCCAGTGTAAGTCTTTTGTCCCATATGTTCCCTCTACTTGGGACGATGAATTGAAATTAGTCTTTAGCTTCAATCTGACATGTTCAAAAACACATATGTATTGTTCATTAACACATACGATCTCAATTAAATAAATATTAAAATAAAATTACAGTTTTTAGAATTGGGTTTGTTGCTTTTTGAGATCTTCTAGCCTACTTCATGTTGTCAGGTTCTGTTGAAGGGATGTTTTTACAGGTCTGGTAGTAAGATCTGGGTATGGCTGGTGAAATAATACATAACTCATATTTCTATTTCCTAATCATTCGGTTAATTCTACAGGTCATGGCAGGGTGTCTGGGCTCTCCCTCAGAGATAAGGTGAGAAGCTCGGTCATCTGAGAGGGGCTCTGCGTAGATCTGCTGCTCCTCCACATCGAGAGGAGCCAGTTGAGGTGGCTTGGGCATCTGGTTAGGATGCCTCCTTGACACCTCCCTGGCGAGGTTTTCCAGGCACCTCCAACCAGGAGGAGACCCAAAGAAAGACCCAGGACACGCTGGAGGGACTAGGTTTCTCGGCTGACCAGGGAATGACTTAGGATTACCTGAGACAAGTTGTCCCAAGTGGCTGAGGAGAGGGAAGTCCGGGCCTTTCTGCTTAGGCCGCTGGCCTGGCAACCCGACCCTGGATATGCAGATGAAAATGGATGGATGGATGAACAAGGTGGCAAAGACCTTTCAAATAGTGCCAGGTTTGAATAGAATTGCCCTCAGGACTCATTAGTTTGTTTCACAGAAGGATGTTTCAGTTTGACACAAATCAACGGGGGGAATTTGCTTGGTTTCCAGTCTTAGACATCCCCCCTTCTAATCCCCTCAGGAAATCAGGAAGTTCTGTGAGCAACATGGATATGGAAACCCCCCGACTGGTACGCTTTCAAAAGAACCTTTGTTTATTTGTAGCCTACAAAACTGTAACTTCTAATTATTGCCTTTCTTAGATTAATTAAATCCTGCATAAAAGAATGATGCCGTTTCAGATTAACCACTACACGGGTTATCTAAAACGCACATATCATTTATAATCAAAACCATAATAGATCATTAGAACAACTTTGATGTAGTAAAAATTATGATAGTAGATTTTGATTATTTTTAGAAGTCTATCAAAATGTCCATTTAATTTGAAATCATGATTTAAATTCTTCTTCATAAGTATTACGTTTTTTAATGTATTTTTATGTTGTGGGTTTTGCTTTAATGTACTTAAATTATGTAAAGCATTATGGACAGTTTTACACTGTTGTAAGGTGCTATAAAAAATAAAGTAGACTTGGCTTGGAATGGCTTGAGTATCAATTTATTTGCTCATTTTAAGCCAAATTTTTACATAACATGAATGCATTTGTATCATATTAATAGTGTTACCCCTAAAAGAGCACCTTAGGTTTGTTTATTTCATGGATGATCCACAAAAGTGAGTGATCCTGAATTGCAGTTAAACAGCCAATCACATTTGTTTTCTAGGGAGAACTGGAGAGTTGTTGGCCAATCAGCGCCTCTGAATTGATTGCCTCAGGGGCACAGGCCAATAGCGCCCTTGCTACAGGAGATAGCTAGCTTAGAAGGTGCTGGATCTCCATTTTCCTCTCTCTTTCTCACTCCTGGTTTCACACACACTGTTGATTTATAAAGGTAGAGCTTACATCTAATTTGTAGCTGTTGCAGTAAAATGTGTTTATTGGTTCTCATTTTTTATAATGTTTAAAACTGGATATTTACATCATTTTCTATGTTAGTGCCACCTACAGGTGGAACTCAGTATTGGGTTTTGAGCTTTGGGAAGATGATCAATTAAAGCTGGCAAATTTGGAAAACGAATGATCTCAAAACAATTTTTACGTGCCTCGTAAAGTTCTAACATAGGCATACATATATTTTAGATATGAAAACATTAAAGTGATTATCTCGCATTTGTCTAAAAACCTCTGCCATTAACACATTCCGGACTGAAAGCAACTATTGGACCATCTGATTCTGGGTCTCTCCGAACCGATGCACTTCCCTGGGTCCTTCATTCGTTACACACTCACGTATTTAGCAACAGAACACCCCTGGTGTAACATATTCTCAGCTCGATGATAGTAGAAAAGGAGAAACAGCCAGCTGCTACCACCTAATAAGTGAATTTGATTTTTGACTATGTGAGACTGCTGATTTGGTGAAGGTAAATAAACAGTGTTGGGAGTAACGTGGTACAAAAGTAATTAATTACTGTAATGCATTGCTTTTTGCTGTAATGTGGTAATGTAAGGCATTACAGCGAAAGAAAATGGTAATATTTACTCAGCACAATTGTCAATAACGCGGTAATTACAATGCATTTTTAAACCCAGAATCATGATGTGGGTTTCCTAAAAATTCTAATTGCGGGAAGCCTGAAAAAAGATCCAGTATGCACATATATGACGTCATTTATGGACTCAGCTTTGCGGGCATTCTATCAGCAGAGAGGACGCAGCGGCAATGGCTCAAATACTCCAGCTGCGTCCTGCGCGCGGCCGCTGTTATATTCACAAAATTGCTCCACCAAAACAAAGTCATTCGTTTGCGATCGTTTAAATCAGCCCATATTCTCTGGTACTTCATGTACTTTTCAGCTGAGTTCATAATCTGTGCCCCGGTGATTTCAACTCATTGCTGTTGGAGCGCAGCGCATATTAAGCTTTTATTTTTTGTTTTGTGTTCGGTAGATCCCTTTGGCTGATTAGTTAGAAAGTAGGAAATCTAGGAAACAGTTTTTCTGGAAGACGGAGAAAACGTGCAACATGCAGGAAGGTTAGAGAGAGAAAGGGCCGGAAATGATTCAAATAAAATCAAGAAAACAAAACAAGGTGCTTGAAAAGGGAAAAAAAGTAGGTAGATTTATCCCCAATACACATTTTTACCAGTGAAAATCAATAATATATAAGCATTTAATATTTATACATGTGATAGAATCAGATCACCTCAGAAGTCAGTCCCACATCCAGGGCTGTATCAAGGCATTTGGGGACCAAGGCAAATATAGGCTTGGAGCCCCCCACCACCTCACTCCCTGCTCAGTTAATATAAGATGGCAGCATGCTGAGAGTACAGATTGTTGTTGCTTTTATTTAATAAACAATCATTTTAAAGCACTGTTATTATATCTGACTGTTTTTGACAGCAACCCTAGCTCAGACACCATATCACGTTCCACATATATGTCATGAGCTCACTGAGCGTCACATTACCAGATTCATGTTGAAGTTGTACTGGTGAAAGTAACTTAAAGTAATGCAAATGTAGTGTAATACCTTACATTTTATAATCAGTAATATTGTAATATAATGAATTACTTTAAAATGAGGGTAACAAGTAATAAATAATGCATTACAGTTTTGAAGTAACTTGCCCAACACTGTAAATAAACAATTGTATTGAAATTGTAGTCATTTTCCAAATCTTTCCATTTTCCAGCCCCACCAAGACATTTTCCTCACCAGCTGCCACTGGATTTATTGCATTTATTGCAGATAAGTGTTTCTCTGCAAGCTTTACGTACATTCCCGTCTCTTAAAGATTACTTTATTGAAAAAAAAAAACATCCAAATAAATGCACCAACAACATGAAATTGCAGGAAATGTACTGTATCTGAAAGAGATAGGATCCAAACTGCATGCAGTATGATTGATAGAATACTCAGATGGATTACACTGTTATGTATGAAGATGCAAGGGCCATGAATTTGCCGCGGCAGTTTCATTTCTCCCCTGTTGGTGGCTCTCTTGCTCCTCCATCATTCAGAGGTTCCTGGCGCGCGCGCACTCTCGCGCTTCACACCCGGATGGATGACTTCACCGCTCTGCCTGGGCTTCCAGTATGATCCCGGGATCTCCCACTTCCCTCGCCAGACTTCAGGTAGCAACACAAGTGCACGGATCTCTCTTTCGCGTTGTGCACACACTCACACACACACACACACACACACACTGACTTCATCTGCCGCTCACCCAGAGACCTAACAGAGACTGAGAAGATCCCAGCAGGAGACGCGCAAGCTGCACACGCATCAAAAGGAGGACCTACTGCTCCTGCGAGGAAGACTTTTAAATCTAACCTCGGTGATTTTTCTCTTGTGTTTTGGTGCCACAATGTCCGAGGTGCTGCCATACAACGAGGGCAAAATGAACGGCTACGGGGCGGACAGTGAGGTTAGTCAGATGTCCTTTAGTTGTGGACTGCAGGACACAAACGCCTTTTTCGCTGCGTCGCAGGCGAAAAGACCCCCAAAGCTTGGACAGATCGGCAGAGCCAAGCGAGGTAAGGGATCAGTGTGAATGGTAGTGATGATAATTCATGGGATACAGAATATGGATGAAGATTAACTTTGTATTTACACTCATCTTGAAACGTAGGCATTATTTATGCAAGAGATACTATTCCTGCAATGACGCGCCCCATGTAAATACCGCACATACTTAAACAGGTTATATTTTAAAAGCTTGGTTTAGATTTCACCAGGTGCGCCTTTCTGCGCAGTGGGGATTTGCAAAAAATAAAAAAATAAAACCTTTTATTTTATATTTATTCACCTGCAGCCGCAATAAGTGTATGTTTTCCGCGCCATATGCCTTCCCCCTTAATGGATCAAATAAATGTTGATGTCATGGTGGATCTGAGCCGGTTGATCGCATCTCACTCTCTTCTCCCATCTCCACAGTGGTCATCGAGGACGATCGAATAGACGAGGTCCTGAAGGGGATGACAGACAAGTCCTCACCCGGCGTTTAAACGTCATCGTTGCCTTGCAGACTTTTTTAATTTCCGATCACCGATTTGAAGCACTTGTCGGCTGTGCATGTTCGAGGATTGCGGGAGAAAAAACGGCAGCTCGGAAGCGATGAGAAGGACGGCGAAAAGAGAAGAGGCTAATGGACTGGGCTTTTTTTATTTTTCAAAAATAAAAACAGATAGGGGGAAATATGTGAGGAAGAGGAGAGAGGTGAAGGAATAATGACAGACTCTGGGTGAAAAAGACCAAGATTTGTCGTGGGATTGCTGGCAATTCTCCAAAAAGCGAATCCCGATTTTTAACCACTGGTGCGCAGCAGGATGTTTAGATGGCGGACTCCGCTCTGTATCTCAACCTCTGCTGATTTAGATGAAGGATGAACTTGTCATTTCATCACCCACCGCCTCTTTCTGTTTCTTTCATAACAAAAACATGAAAGAAAAAACGCGCTGTAAGCAACCAAACACTGCAACTAGAGGGCAAAGCAGCCCTATTTCAATAAGTTGTACAGTAGGTAAGCTGTAAGTTCTCCCCCCTCCTCCCCCACTCCTCTTAGGCTTTGCTTTGTTGATTCGGTCAGCGACGGTGCATTTAGAGGGAGCTGTCCTTTCAGCACTGGTCCAACGCATTCCTGTTGCAGCTAAATGCTTTATTTCAGAAACAGACCAACCAAACTCTACTCGAGGACACTCTTTGTATAAAAACATATATCCGAGGATGGTGCAATGTTGATATCTTCTGTAGTGAAAAAACAACAACATTTTGAGCATCAAAACAAACAGATATAACAGAGATACAGGCTATATTCCTTATATTACCTACCCATCAGTGGTTATGGTGCAGGTTGGCACCTTCTTGTAGCTAAGTTGCCTGCACATATCTTTATTTTATTATATTTATTTCTTATTTTCCAAACAGATATCTGCAGAGGCCAACAACAGAGTGGAGATTAAATGTTTTAAATATGAAATAGATGGGATAAAATATGATCTAAAATGATTTAGAGTTGTTTAATTTTAGATATTTTGTGTGCTTTTTCTGTTCTGTATGGAATCAGAATTATTTCTGCCCCATCTATTTGCATGAACTCTCCCTCCTGGTGCCAACGCAGGTGCCACCACTGTTACCCTGGCACGCTTCTTTTTAACAAAAAGTCCTATTTGTATTTTTATATCTAAATATTTGTTATTTAAATTATATGCTAGTCTATCATCTTACAGTTCATCAACACAGATATTTGTACTTCAGAGAGGATATAATGACTGAGACTGGGTTTAATACTGGTGAATCAAAGAATTTTTCTGGACTGGTCTCGTTCTATATCACAGCTCAGACGTTTTTAAGACTAAATGAATGTGTCGGAGTTTGTTTTTTGCACACATCAATGTTAAACTATTATTAAGAAATCGTTTACTGTGAGTTAAGCTTCATTGATGAATTTGTTAGAAAATGGCAGTTTTAGAGTATATTGCACTGTTTACGAGTATCCTCAAATAACATGTTGTTATTTGACCTATTTTGGACATTATTGTTCTTTCTTGTTTTTTAATTATGTTTATTTTGTATCATAATTTTCAGGAAATGGTTTGTTGTGCATGAAACGTTAATATTTTCAAAACGATACATTGTTTTATGAAGCAAAAAAGCAACAGAAATGTCATGACATTCTAAGAATGAGTCATTGTACATTATGATGCCATTTTCACTGTATTTGGTGAATTAATAAATGGTGACAGAAAATGCTAATGGGATTCGTCTGTGTGACTTATGCACCAAGACATTCAGGGTGGGGAACATACCAAACAATGAGCCCAACACTTGTCCTGGGGATGAATAAGACCAAAAATATAAAGAAAGGGCACATCATCTCCTCAGATTAACAACCACAAGTGACGATTGTGTAGGTTTGGGGCCTCTGCAGCCTTTGGAATGAGTATTTAATGGCAGGAAATACTAATTCTTAATTAAATAGAGGGAATGACACAGTGATCCATCTGTTGAGCTGTTTAAACAGCTTTGTTATAGCCAGCAATCCATTAAACTACAAATCTTTTGGGAGCCACAACCGGAAGCAAGATCATCTATCATAGTCAAGGTGGATTGTGTCCTCATGCACACAGAGATGCACACACTCTAACCTTAGGCCTCCAATACCACAACACATCCCATAATTAGGGCTGCAAACAACTTTTGGTGTCAGGTAAACGGAGCCTGAGGATTAGTCTGCCTCATTTATTGTGTCCTTTGGATTTAGGATGATGAGAACCAAACACAAGGATACATTTATATATACATGAATCAAATTTGTTTACATATGATGAGAAGCAGAACCATCTAATGTAGTTATGTTTAATGACAGTTCAGTCTGGGAAGTTCTGTTTTTGTTTAAAATTAGGTGAACATGTCAGGTGGAAGAGGAGAACGAAGAATCTTGTAGAGCCAGCAGTATCAGGCAGGAAACTGGGTCAGCTGATCTCACCTCCCCTCCCACCTGTAAGCACTCACACTGATAACTCAGGAGAAATTAGGTTTCTTGTAATCACTCCAGTATGTTCCCAGAACCAAGCTGGATGAATTACAGTTTATTGGTTCAAAAAAGGCCTCTACAGCATGCAGGATGCACCTATATTAAGCTGCAGGTTCTGACAACACATAGACAGACATCGGGGACGTCACGCTGAACCGCTCTTCGCTCTGATTAAAGGACACCACCGTCCACATTCCCATCGGCGAGATTATCGACTGTCCTGATAACATCAGACCTGCACTGAATAAACAAATAGTGTTATTGATCACCTTGTTTTGGTTGCTCCGTTTGTGTGCGTGTGTTTGGTGCTGCGGTGATGGTGGTCCAGAACCGGACTTGCGTATTTGGTCAGATTCTAGATTGTGTCCGCTTCACTTCACATTACTCACTGTGTCATCTGCACCTTTGACTAGTCAGATTTGTTTACTCATTTATCTCATCCTTAACAATTTATATTCAAAGGTGATAAAGAACCAACAGATTCAAAGAATAACATTTAAAACTAGAATGTTTTGTTTCTGGTTCAGGCTTTCTGTCAACATAACAAAAGATGAAGAGGAGGGTAAAGAGAAGATAGGAAGAACGCGGGACATTTTAAATTGTATCACATGACCGAGCTGCATTATTTGATATGCAAAATGTGAAAGTTCATTCTTCTGTTCGGACCCCAGAATGGTTGAAATGTTGACATTAAAGACTATTCATGCATGGTGAACTCATAAAGGTTGCTACAGTAATCAGATCTGTGTAAGATGTTCTCACACACACACACACACACACACACACACACACACACACACACACACACACACACACACACACACACACACACACACACACACACACACACACACACACACACACACACACAAATGTATTCCAAAACTACACTACAAAGATGCCTGATTGCATCCTTAGCCAATCAGAGAGCTTAATTTTCATGTGATCATAATGTTTAATACGAGCAACATGACAATGTTTTTGGAGTCTTTCTAAACACTAAAAAACAAGTATTTAAAACACTGAACCCAATGGGAGCTGTTAGCCCTCTGCCTTCTGGGGGGATTTAAGAGAATTTTTAAAATCCGATTGAAAATTAAATCCAAAAAGGACAAAGATGCCTACATTTTTTACATAGAATCTTTATAAAAATCACCATAGCTGTAGGAGTAGGAACAGTTTGTTACTCAGGTTTGTTGGTTCCCACACAGTTCCTCGTGTGACCTAGAGGGATGCCAACCAGCATTTCATTTCTTCAAAAACTCGGAAATGGACAGAAACTAAAACTATCATTTCACAGAAGTGAAATATTCTTCTTCATTAAAATTCCTGGTGTTCTTAACATTTCAAAGAGTCCAAACCAAGTTTCAGAAAAATGTAAGCGTTTCATTCAGTTCCGATGAGGGAGTCTGACGCTTTCCGGTCGGCTCGTGGGTCAAGAACGAATAAAATGGAAGCAAGTCAACGGGGCTAAAAGAGCTATTTTCCAATCTGCTTAGCCTTACGCCCTGAATCACACTTATGTTGTACTTCAATTTCAATGAAAAGTAATGATGTGTGTTTAACCACACCGGTCATGTACTTTGACATTTATTAGCATTAAAAAATTTGTAATTCCTATGACTACAAATCAGATATCGGTACGTCACCACATAATCTCCTCTCCACTAGCGTAGCTGCTACTTACCTCATGGCCAGATTTATGGTGGTTCTTTCCTCCTGAAGGAAGGATTCAAAGTTTGCTAAACTTACAGTTATTTTAACTCAGCTTTTCTCCGTGTCTGGTACTGAGACGTCAATTTGTTGATGCGCATTTGTAGTCCTGCATGTACTTCCACACAAAACCTAAAAAAAAAACTTTTAAAATTCATGATCATCATATATGAAATCCATGTCATAAAATAAACGGGATAAGAAAACAGCGTATCCATTGATTTGCATTCATTTTTTTCATTCCTCCGTAGACCCGTTGTACAGAAGATGATGGGCGACATGGCGTAACATTTGTATGCTGATGACTGCCAATTTTATGTTTCATTAAAACCTCAAGAGTCGGTGCAACCGGCTGTGGATTGCCTGAATGAGGTGAAGGGCTGGCTTTAAAATAACTTTTTACACTTGAACAACTCTAAGTTGGAGGCTCTTTTATTTGTTCCTCCCTCTCCCACTGCAGTTAGTCCTGTCCTGCCGCCCTGTTTTCGCAGCATAGTGAAGCCAACCATCACTAACCTGGGGGTGGTTTTGGACCCAGAGCTGCGGATGGACTCTCACATTAGCCAGGTGGTTAGATCCTGCTTTTTCCAGCTTTGCCGGCTATCAAAGATGAAGTCCATCTTGACTAGATGTGACCTACACACAGTGATGCATTTGGGATATCTCGCTTGGATTATGCAAATTCCCTTTTTATGAATCTACATCTTCCTCGGTTGAGCGCCTACAGCTGGTGCAGAATGCGGCAGCCCGCCTTTTGACGGACACCAGACGGAGGGGGCACATTACTCCTGTTCTGACCCAGCTGCACTGGCTCCCGGTGCACTACCGCATCCAGTTTAAAATCTTACTTCTTGTTTTTAAGTCACTCTATCTTTATGCGCCTCTGTACTTGACTCAGCTGGTTCAGCCCTACGTACCTGGTCGAATTGTTTGGTCAGCAAACCACCACCTATTACAGGCCCCAAGTGTTCGGGTGAGGACACGAGAAGAACGAGCATTCTCAATCTGTGCGCCTCGTCTCTGGAACCAACTCCATCTAGCAGTGAGAATGGCCCCCTCTCTCTCTGATTTTAAATCATGCCTGAAGGCTCATTATGATTCCTTGGCTTTTACTTCAGCCTAGTTAGCATTGTACTATGTCTCTATTTTTTTCCCTTGATTTTATAGTATTTACTGTACTACTTTTATTACTTTCTTCCCGTGTGGTGATTTTTATGCTTTGTTACTTTGCAGCATTTTGGTTGGCCTCGGCCGTGTAGAAATGTGCTTAATAAATAAAATGGAATGGAATGGGTGTGACTTAGTCTCCCTATAAGGTTTTTTTTTAACTTAGACGGTACTACAGTCACGACAACTTAAAATATCAATACATCTTATGAGCAAATTGTCCATTTGGTGTTAGTACAGTGACCTCTGAGTACAGACCGGATGGAGACAAATATCGACATGCTAGATTCAGAGAGACAAAGCCAAAGCACAGGACAGATTAGTGCATGTGTCACGGCAACCTCTGCTGTATACAAACACCACATTCGCTCCACCCCGCATGGACATCCATTATTATTCCTTCTCTTGTTACATAAGGCTGCTATTCAATATACAGTTTAATGCCATTACACTGCCACAAGAGACATGGAAAATACACACTGCTGTTTATCTCCAAACACTGAAATAGCAGCCCCTGCCGTCTAAAGCCATGGGTAAAAATATTTTAATATGAGGTGAAAGCAGAAATAGAGACATAAGCATCAGGTTTAGAAAGTTTATTAGTGACTTTAAAGAGAAAATTGATGATTTTCATACAGCCTTGTTTTTAATGAAGTTACAATTAAATAAGTGAGGTTTAAAAATTAAAACAAATAAACAAAAAGCAGGAAACCTCTTCTCCCTTAGCAGCTGCAGATTCCTCTGCTTTTGTTCAGTTTAAATACAAATTCAGCCAAATTTATTTAGATTTTTGTAAAAGCATTAAATCAACCTTCTGAGTTGCATTATCCATCACATAACTCCCATAGAGCAAACCACTCAGGGTCAAATGATGTTTTTGGAGGACAGGATGGTGGAAGCTGGAAAAAGGAGTGACAGAGCAAAGTAAAGAGAGACAGAGAATCATTGAGCATGCAGTGGATCAGTGCAGTTGCTGCCCTTGGGCAGCAGAGCATGGAGGACAATTAAGCAGCAGGAGAAAAAATATTTAGTCTGTTTTCTCTATTAGAGAGAGCAAGATGACACCCAGTCAAATCGGGGAAAAAATGTACCAAATGGCAGCATTTACAATCAAATGATGACTAAACCTCTCCTGTAGTGAGGCGTGTGATCTGCTCTCTGGTTACATAACCTAAGTCCAGTCAAGTCAAATCTCACAGTGGGGTCTCTGCCTCTGCACATCAGCTAGTCCCAGCTGCAGACGGAGTATAACACTTCTGATATTTAACATGTTTATAACAGGACAGAAATTTTAATGCGGTGAGGTTGAGCAAAAAGGTTTCCTGGCTTCAAGGAAGGG